CTGTGTCACTAAGGCTCCTATATATATATATATATATATATGTATACACACACACATACATATATATGTATGTATACACATGCACAACACACACAAGCACACAGTCAGTTCCTGGGTGAAACAAATGGTTAAGTGCTTGGCTACTAACCAAAAGGCCAGCTGTTCAAATTCACCCAGAGGCATGTTGGAAGAAAGACCTGGTGATCTAACATCAAAAAGTCACAGCCACTAAAAACCCTACCTGCAGTTCTATTCTGAAACACACTGAGTCAACATGAGTGTATGTGTGTATATATATATATATATATATATACACACACACGGGAGAAAGATGTGGTAGTCTGCCTCCATAAAGATTATAGCTTTGGATACTCTATGGGGCAGTTCAACAGCAATGGGTTTGGGTTTTTTTGGTACATATATGTATGTATACATATACATGTATGTATATGTACATATTATATATGTGTACATATACATATATAAATAACCATTCATCCCTTTCCACCATTTTCCGACTAGATGATATGAATATGGATAGCTATGAATATAGAGATACAGATAGAAACAGAGATACAGAGATAGACAGATAGGTGTATTTTGCTCCTTGGGAGACAAACTATTTGGTGTTCCTTGCTTCTCTGGAAAATAAACGTTTACAATCTCCAAATTTAAAAAAGTGAAAAGAGGAAACAATAACAACAGCTTATACTCCTATATGTCTGTTTACTTTAAGGAGCCCTGGTGGTGCAGTGGTTAAGAGCTTGGCTGTTAACCAAAAGGTCAGCAATTTGAATCCACCAGCCACTCCTTGGAAACCCTATGGGGCAGCTGTACTCTGTCCTGTAGGGTTGCTATGAGTTGGAATCGACTCAAAGGCAATGGGTTTTTCTTTACTTTGAGTTCTTTTATCCATTTTCCCATTACCATAACAATCATAACAGGTGGTTGGGACAGATCCTCCCTCCCCAATTACAAATGAAGAAACTAAAATTCGAAGTGTTTCATAATTTGCATAAGGAGACAGAGTAGGAGGAATCAGGAAGCCAGGTCTTCTACCTCTTAATCTAGCATTGTTTCTTTCACCTCAGCAGGGATAATTTGCAAGCTTCTCCAGGTTAATTGAGCTTGGAAGCATATGTCCTATTATTTTCTTTAAAATTAAGACGTGGGGCAAGCATCAGCTTTTTCAGTAGGCGGGTTGCAGCCTTCAAACTAGAATTACGTTAAGAGAACGTCATTATCACTACCCCGAATGGAAAGGAGATTGCTTTGGCTTCTTCTCTGCTAAACATATTTTGACTTCTTTTGAGACATGATTATTGAGTTAGCTTGTGCTTCTCTTCCAGATTGGTTCCATCACAGGAATGATCCTCATTATTCTCATAGCTGTGATTGGAGGAATACTGTACCAAGGTTCTTGGGTCATCAGTCCCAAACTGTGGATTATAGGAGCAATATTTCCTATGGCTGGTTACGTCCTGGGGTTTTTTCTGGCTAGAATAGCTGGACAGCCCTGGCACAGGTATGGGGTTTTCGTACATCAAATTGGGAATTTTCTTCTGTAGTAGCTGTCAATACTGACAACAAGTTCAAAGTCCTATTAGTCCTATTTCTGAATACTTGCTCTAAATAGACTCATTCATTCTTAAATTATGCAAATCCCCTAGAAAGAAAGTACTGACTGCCCCTTTTTTGCTCAAATTCTTCTTTCATACTCCTCCATTGCCATGCATCTTACTCTCCAGGCAGAGTGACCTTAAGAAAAGCAGTTAGATTGGCCTTGTAACATATGAGGGTTCCTGCAGCCAGCAACAAGGTGAAGTCATCATCAAAAGGTGCTGAATATTAGAACTTGGTTTAGCATTCATGGGTTTGATACTGGGTAAAAATATTTCTTCTCCTACTAGCCCATCTGAATCAATAGGCAGAGAGAAAAGCAGGCATCAGTGTATTTATAAGGTTGGGAAAGAGATCAGCAGCACTGGACAGTGGAAAGAGGACAGTGTTTGAGTCGAGGAGACCTGGGCTTGCCTTCTCACCATGCCACTTACCAACTGTGGGACCTCAGGGCAGACACTCTTTCTCTGAGTTTTCTCATCTCTAAAGTGGGGACAATAATGCCTACTTGATCAGGATTTTCTGATCAGCATTTAATCAGAAGAACAAATCCAATTTAACAATAAAACAAGTACAGGGGTGTTTGCTGCACCCCTGCTTTGTGCTCTGCACTGTGACCAATGACATAATTAAAAAGGGTGAAATAAAACCCCGCTGCCATTTATGGAACACTAATATAAATGAGCCAGCTTCACGCATATTTGTAGAAGTGTTTGTTCTCAGTGGTATTCCCTGGGTGGTGAAAATGTTCAAGTGTTCGACAATCTGAAAGTTTGGCGGTTCAAAGCCACCCAGAGGTGCCTCGGAAGACAGGCCTGGTGATCTGCTTCTGAAAGGTCACGGCCTTGAAAACCCTGTGGGGCAGCTCTACTCTGCACACATGGGGTCGCCATGAGTCGAAGTTGACTTAATGGTAGCTAACAAGAGCACTTGTTCTCAATATATCTGTTGTTAATGTCATACAGTAACAACACGAACCAAAACAACAGCAAAAAGCATATATTCTTTTAATATTTCTATAAGGTGCCGGACAGTTGCTTTGGAAACAGGGATGCAGAATACCCAGCTGTGTTCCACCATAGTGCAGCTCTCCTTCTCTCCTGAACAGCTCACCCAAATGTTCACCTTCCCGCTCATCTACAGCGTCTTCCAGCTGGTCTTCGCAGCACTATTATTGGCATGTAAGAATAATGCTCATCACGCTTCATTATGATGTTCTTCTCTGAGAAATCCTGGAGTTGCTTAAACGACATTTTTTTGGTCTCGTTTCCTGTTTCTGGCAGTGGACTGCACAAATAAATGAGAGGGAAAAACCACTCAACTGCTGACAAAAAAGATAGTAATTTTACCAGAAGTTTCTAGTGGACATTATTTTTAAGTGAAAAGTAATGGAATTTGTTCTCTCCTCTGATTTTTTTTTTTTCCCCTCAGTAATAGGGAGGCATATTAACCTGTTAGGACCATTTTATTGTGTGCCTTCCTAAATGCTTTCAGAGATCCAGGACTGGCCATTGTTTTTCAAAAGTAAACCCAAAATAGCCTTGGTATTGAAGTCCCTGGGTGGTGCAAATGGTTAACACTCTCCGCGGCTAACCAAAAACACGGAGGTTTGGGTCTACCCAGAGGCACCTCAGAAGAGAGGCCTTGTAGGCGACCTGCCTCTGAAAAGTCAGCACAGTTCTACTCTGACACACATGGGGTCACCATGAGTTGGAATCAACTCAACAGCAACTGGCATGTTGTGTAAATATAGGATATTTGGCATATAGGAAATTGGTATATATAGGATATTAAACGGCAGGCTTGTGTAGAAACACACACGTTTTTTAAATGCCCATGTAATTGAAGCAGTTGAAGCAAAAATGTTCTTTATTTAAAGTACTAGGGAAAGATAACCTGATTCTTAGCTTTACTCTGATGTAGTACACAGCTTTGATCCCCTCCCATTAGCACATGCTGGTCCTAACCTAGTTGACATTCTTCCCTATATTTTGTTTTCCATGAATTGATAATATTTAACCTACATTTTTAAATTATATTTTTAATTAAAGAAACTGTACTTTTGTAAACATCGTGGCATTTCAAGGGGGCGTGTCAAGCGAAGGTGCATGGCAAAAATGATGTGAACTGTTAAGCTATAAAATGCCTGGAGACACAGTTTTCATTTTTTGATTTTTCTGCTTAGCTCCAATAGTGAATTAAGCAACTTTCCCATGAGTCCTAATCGTACTCTGTACCAATGTCTTCGACTGAATCATTAAAGCATGGCTTTCCTTTGTAGAATATGACTTCTGAATCTACTGGAAGTACCCTACTGCTTTATCGCTAGCCCAGAAAACATAAATCCATTGCCAAATAACCTTTGCTTGCATGATAAAAGTATATCCAATTGGATACAACTTAAGATTTGGCCAAATAATTAGTTTGTGGTATCTACTAGATAAGCCAAAGAAAGTGGACTGGTTGATAGAACAATTAAATATATTTGCTAGTTGAATAACTAACCCAAAAGGGATTGATTGATTAGGGGGAATGATATAAAGGAGGTCACAGATATTGGTCTTACCCTTTCCCACATTTTATCAGTCGTTTATATGAAAAAAGTAAGTATCTTTATTAAGTCTATACAATGCCTGAAAATGTATTGGTAACATGATTAGAACTCTAATATATTTTGGAATAAAGAGCTTTGTCTTTATTTCGGAACAAAGAGGAAGGAAGGGAGGGAGGGCATAAATAAGATGTTTTGGTTAAATAAAAGCAGGGGCATTAAGTATAAGTTGAGGGAGTCTCAGCTCACAATTAGTTTATAATAGAAGTGTTGGGATGTTTTAATTGACCACAAGCGCAATTAAATTCAATGGTGTGGCTCAGTGGTTTAAAACTAATATAGTAATAGAAGCACAGGGACAAATTCAAAGGAAATATTGATCTTGATACTGATCTTTGAAAAGAATCTTGTCTCTCTCAGCCCTGAATCATAATGATAATTAACATTTAGCAAGCAATATTTTCCATAGGTCATGCTAGGCACTTTACTATTTTTTCTCATTTTAATGTTCTCTACTACCCATTGGGAATCCCTGGGTAGTACAAACAGTTAACACGCTTGGCTGCTAACTGAAAGGCTGGAGGTTCAAATCCATCCAGAAGCTCCTTGGAAGAAAGATCTGGTGATCCGCTTCCAAAAGATCACAGTTATGAAAACCCTATGAAGCACAGTTCTACTCTGAAACACATAGGGTCAGAATCAGCTCAAGGGCAACTGTTTTGTTCTGTTTTGTTTTTAACTGCCATATGAGGTAGATATGTTTGATTTTACATAAGGTATTGGAATTTAAGGGGTCCAATAAGTAAGACCCTTCTCTTCCTCTGCTGAGTTTGGAACCAGTTGAGAAGTAGGGGAAAAAATAAGATATTTAGATAATAAAATAGAACTTTTGCTACTGATAAAAGCAGTGAAAGTGCTTAATTGGAAAATATAGCTTGAATCTGAAGCTAATGGGCTTGTTAATACTGCTCCCCAACACTGTCTCACACATGTGTGCATAAAACACACACACACACACACACACACACACACACACACACTCTGCAGGTCAGTCCTTGGAAGGGAAAGCCTGTCCAAGTAAGCTGACCTAAAAAATAAGCTGCTAAATGGCTGCCATGAGTCTGAATCAACTTGATGGCAATGGGTTGGTTCTTTTTTTTTTTTTTTTTTTTTTTTTGGTGGGGGTTGGTTTACCAGAGACTATGAGTCGGAATTGACTCGACGGCAATGGGTTTGGTTTTTTTTTGTTTTAGCAGCTCCACAGGAGAGAGGAACGCTGATCACCAGTCAGCTAAGACACTCCTTATGCCATGGGAAAAAGTGAGTGAGGGCGGCAGGAATCCGGAAGTGTTATTCTAGCTCCTGTCCTTCCACAGAGGAGCATTAGGCCAGTATTGCACCTTAAAAAAACCAGTTGCTGTAGCGTCAATTCTGACTCGTCGCGACCTGAGAGGGCGAGTAGAATTGCCCCATAGGGTTTCCAAGGAGAAGCTGGTGGATTCACACTGCTGACCTTTCGGTTAGCAGCAATAGCTCTTAACCACTAAGACACCAGGGCTCCATACTGCACCGTAACAGGTGGTATATTAATCGAGAACTAGCACATTAACCGGGATATAGTAGTTCTGGATAAATACTTGCTGTTGTTGCTGTCATTGTCAAGTACCACTTGCAGTGCTGAGTGCCTGCAGAAGGCACGTGACTTCCTTGAGCAAATACACCCAAACCTCTTATGGTAGGTCTTCCTGAAGTTCAGTCATCCCTCTTATCCATGGGTGGTCATAGAAGCAAGAATGGTGATTTTTTTTCTCTAAGTAGCCTCTGGTCTACAGAAAATGCAAACTGCTTCATCAACCAAAGTAATTAATTTTGCATCTTATCATTATTGAATTTACTTAACTTTCTGTGCATTGTTTTCTAGTTTACATGGCACACAAGAAATGTGGGAAAAACAACGCAGAATTTCCAGACGGCAAAGATAACGACATAGTGTCCGAATCATCACTTTATAACGTGAACAGAGGATATCAACCAGATGAAAAGTAGACACCAGTGGACAAAGCAGAAGGACATTCTTCAACTATATTTAACTGTTTATTTTGGTGGAATAGCTGGCAGGAAAAAGTTGAAGTGAAAATTTAAATTCCAATTGAACTCGTATTTTGGATTCAGTACCAACTGACCGGTGATCCCATCCTTTAATGTGACAAACATAGTTTAAATATGTATATATACATATATACAATGTCATTGAACTATGCCAAGAAAATATCTTCATACTAAACCTGACAAAGCCAACACTGAGGACCTTGTAGGTCCTGAACTGAATTTTTACTCAGAATTTCAACACCCAGCAATGAGCACCTTACTTTTTCATGTTAAAATGGATGCAATTATTATCATAAAGTGACCAAGATTTTCTCCAGTATTTATGATTGCAAAAATATTGAAATGAAAATCTTTCACCTACATTTTAATCATTATTTTGGAAACTCTGCCACCTATTTATGTAACTTTGTAGTATAACATGAGAAAATACATGTCATTCTATATTTAAAAAAATAAAAAACCTTCTCCTGTGACAGTCCATGAACAGAAATGATAAAGAAGGGTTACTAGATAGATTCAATAACCAAATTGGAATCAGGTCTATAACTCATCAAGGATATTGTACATCCATTGCTCTACCTCAGAGGTCCAATGATGCCCACTAGATCTTTCAAGGAAAAACAGGATCCTTTCAAATGATCTGAATTTGCCTAAGAGCTCTTCAAACCCTGTAGAGAGACTTTCCTCAAGCTTTGCCTGTAGGAGGCAGGTCCACATTGGCTACTCTGACAGATATTTAGTTCATAAGAAGCACACATAGTAGGCATCATGGAGCAAGAAAGTGGCCAAGAGGCACAAAAACAAAAGTATTGGAAGAAACACCACTACTCCAGTGGGTGAATGCAACTCAATGAGCAACAAAGAGAAATAACATGTAAAAGCACAAACCTCCTTGAAATGTATGACTAGAGTCAATTAGATACGTGGTAATAAGTAGTGATAAGAAGATCAAGTCAAAGAAGGATCGAGAAAGTGAGTATTAAACAGTATTTGAAGAAGCCGAAGACAAGTCCCAGTTCCAGGAAGTAAGAAGGGCATTCCAGATGAGTTCCTTGGATGCTGTAAGTAGATGTAACTATAGGCAACAAGGAGGATTTGACAAATGGCAGCAGGATGTTATGGCAAGGGGGGAAATAATTGGTCAAGTCTTGGGTTCTCAATTACGAGGTCTTAATTGATTTCTATTACCTCATTCTGCAGCAAGATACAGCCATTCTTAACTCAGTTCTTCAAGGTTTAATTCCATTTTCGATTTGGACAATTTCACTGCCTCATAGATCCCCTTTCAAATGTTTTAGTTCCAAATGATATTTCCCGTTTAAATGATCTGAGTTCAGATCCTGCTGGTGCATCTAAGCATTAGAGGAACGTGAACTTAGCTCTTTTAAAAGAGAGATAAGGGGATTCTACTATTAAAAGTTGTAACATTTATTCTGTAAGCCTTCATCTTAAGTGAGAATAACAGCACAATTGGAAGGGCATAGTCAATGTCACTGAACTGTGCATGTAGAAATTTTTGAAATGGTGTACCTTTGGCTATGTGTATTTTCACCAAAAAAAAAAGGTTGAGAAGTTAGAGGGTTGACATGTTGTGGGGTTGTTAACCAATGTCATAAAACAACATGTGTACTACTGTTTCATGAGAAACTATTTGTTCTGTAAGCCTTCACCTGAAGTACAATAAAAAAAAAAAAGTTGTAACATTTATACATGTATACCTTTTTATACAAGGTACACATTTACAGTTGAATAAGGTCCCAATATATTTACACCATTAGATAAATTAAAGGGACTAGACATTTTTTGAAGGATAGTTGGGTAGGGGTCTTACAGATTTTCCTCTTAGGGAGTAACCAAGAATATGTTTCTTGGTGTGAAAGGAAGACTTTCAGTCTTTTAAGTACCTCCTACACTTTCCTTATCAAACAGAAAACAGTCAGGTGCATTAAAGACACACTGTGAATTCATAATTTTAACAGACCCAAAGTCCAGGCCCAGATGCCAGCAGCTGCAGTGACCATGCTCTTCCTCCTGCTGATCGAGATATGTAAGACAGAACTTGGCTTTCTTGCATGATGTGCTATCTTGTGAGCTGTGTTTTCTTTTTTCTAATGCACTGGAGGGAAGAAAATAGCTGAGGTTTTTAAAATGGCAGTTATTTTTAAATGAGTTGAAAAGCTGATTAAATTATGTATTTTATTGCCTCTGTGGGTATCATGTTTAATGAATATTTTATTTTAAAGGTTTGAATAAATAAAAATATTTTTTGTAATGTTTGGTCTATTTGCAACGTGTGTGACAACTGTCAAGATTTCTTCTCTGTTCAATCTTAGGGATATAAATAAGGTGGAATTACTCAGATATTAAATTGTTCTTTGAAAAATGCCCCAAAGAAACTCTTAATTAAATACTCTAATAATTAGGTCTCTTGCTGATGCTGATTGAGGTTTTCCAAAGAAAATTATACTGGGTGAACGTTAGTCAAAAACTCTTAAAAATAGTGTGACAATAATACCTGACATAAAATAATAACAGCATTACATGTACTACTTATAAATAATACCAGCATCTTCTATGTTCTATGAAAAAAGTGTATATGTACATATATAAAGAGAGAGAGAGAACATAAACTCTTAACTATTTTAATAGACAAGGGAATTCTGCTTTTACAAATTGTAACATTTATACATAACATTTATACAATGTATATTTCAATTGTGGTGCTCCTGCATTAAAATCTCTCATCAAAGAAACTTAAAGAACTTAAGGTTATGGACCTAACTGAACTTCTCAAAGACATCATTCTGTTCTACATCTAGGAATCTCTCACTCTTTTCCAATAGGACTCAATTTATCTTCCATGGTATATTTGACACCTCATTGCCTCTCAAGACTTCACCCCTTCGAAACCACGTTATTCTAGAACAGGAGTCTTCCAACTGTGGTATTGGGTACTTCTGGGAGTTCTTAAAATTGTCCAAGGCGTATGCAAGCATGGATAGGAAACCAAAACCAACTTCTGTTTCTCCAGCTTTCATCTGTACACTTTCCCAAATCTGCCCTGCCCAAGATACTCCAGGGCTTGAGTTGCCCCCCAGTTTTCCATTCCTACCTCCTTTTTCATTGCCGAGGTTCTCCCACTTGACAAAAGAAGACTTTAGTCTCATCCACCCTAATCTTACTGTGGTGCACTGGCCCAGGGTAGAATACCAAACAAAGGGACAATTCAAAATATTAGTTTATCAGAAAGGGTCCTTATCTTTCTAAATTGTATACATATTTATTTAAGACATTAGAAATTGGGCCCTTTGGCCTGTGTTAGAATATTTTGAATTCAGAAATACTTTAAAGTTGGAGGAAGCGAAGACAATTTTTTGTTCACCTAGCCACTTCTATCCCCAACTATTTAAAGTAATAATAATAATAATCACTCTTGAGGGCAATCCCACGAGAGCAAACAAGGAAGCACTGGTTACAAAAAAGCTGAAAGAGGACACATTTTTTTCATTCAAGAGATGACAAACTTATGATAAATCTCTGAACATTATCTATCCTAGACTTGGAATTCAGAAGTGAGATGGTTAACAAAGGAACTCATATTAACATATTTGTTGGAATTGAAAAGTAAAGGCAGATTTTTTTTTTTCTGACAGAAAGAAAGTTTGATTTGGCTGATTTGTTTGGCAAGGGCCCTTACTTTGCCAATTAGGTAATATGAATGGCATTTTCCATAACTCGTAAGAGCTGAATCTGCAACTCCAAGGTTTTAAAATATATTTAGTTAAAACGTGATGAGATAAAAAGCCCTTTTAAAAAATAATTGATCTAGAATGTATGAAAGACTCATGTAACTCAGTAAGAAGAAGGATAAGAAGGCAAGTAACCCAATTAAAACATGGGGAAAAAAATGTGAAGTTACTTCCCCAAAGAATGACAACTAAAGCAAATAAGTACATGACAATGGCAAACAAATACAGGGAAAGGTGCTCAACACCATTAATCATTAGGAAAATGCAAATTAAAACCACAATGACGTATCACTGCACCCCTACTTAAACAGCTAAAATGACAAATATTGATAATACCAAGTGCTGATGAGGATATAAATTGCAACTCTCGTAGATTGCTGATGGTATAGCCACAATTAACAGTGGTGGGATAATTTGGAAAAGCCTAGTGGTGATGGTTATACAACATGATAAGCATAATCAATGTTGCTGAATTGTACATGTAAAAATTGTTGAATTGGCAAAAGTTTTGTTATATATATTTTTACCACAATAAAATAAAAAATAAAACAGCCAGCAATTTCTTAAAAAGTTAAACACACACTAACCATACAACCCAGCAATCTCACACCTATGTATTTACCCAGTGTTACTAGAAGTAAAATAGTAACACAAAGCACATCAGGGAGTAGGAGGCCAGGGAAAGGATTAACTACAAAGAGGCATGAGGGAAATTTTAGGGGTGATAAATACATTCTATATGATTGTGGTGGTGGTTACACAACTTTATCTATTTGTCAAAATTCATAGAATTATTACCTTAAAATTGGTAGTTTTTATTCTATGTAAATCATATCTCAATAAAATTGATTAATAATTATACTGGCTAATACATCGTATCAGTAGTTGGAAAATATGGCCTTGGTGATAGAAACTATGCCAGAAATCACATGATAGAATTTTGCAAGACCAATGACTTCTTCATTGCAAATACCTTTCTTCACCAACATAAACAGCAACTATACACATGGACCTCACCAGACTAAACACACAGGAATCAAATCAGCTACATCTGTGGAAAGAGACAATGGAAAAGCTCAATATCATCAGTCAGAACAAGGTCAGGGGCCGACTGCGGAACAGACCATCAATTGCTCATATGCAAGTTCAAGTTGAAACTGAAGAAAATTAGAACAAGTCCACAAGAGC